CTTAATCAAGGAACTACCAGAGGGAAAAAACAAAACAAAACAAAGCCCACACCCTCACCAACACTGGCAGGGCATGCCACGGTATATAAACAGAGAGTAAACCCCATTCCATTCTAGCACTGAAGATGTTACCTAGCCAGATAATGAAACGTTTGCAAGAAAACAACCAAGCTCAGAGAACCCCAAGGACTCCACAGTTCAACCCTGAGCTACACATATTCGCTTCTATTGGTAACATTGTATTTGGCCTGGCAACAAACTATTAAACCAACAAACACAATAAGAAGGGTAGCCAAAAAATACAGTACTATATTGCCTTTCAAACACAAGCACTGAAGGAAATGTACTTGGCTTCTAGGTCACATTCTTTTGCTATAACCTCTGGCTCCATTCTCAGTTGAGGCAATTGTGACATCAGCAGCAAATCAAATCTAGATTATTTCTATGTTTGAGGCTTTTGACTATTTCAGGAAACTTTAAATTCAGGTGTCATAAACTTTTCAGAATTTACATCTTATCTAGCTTCTTCTATGAAGACTGAATCTTTCCTTTATACAATATTGTAGGGATCAAAAACTATATATTCTTGTGACATCCTGTGGGCCTCTACAACTGAGGACCTACAGACATGCAGGAAGCCAACAAGTGGAGGGCATGAAGTTTTGGCAAGGCCAATCTAACCTAAGCACTATGTTTCAAAAATACTGAAATTGGTTACAATAATATCCAAAACAGTCAGAACAGTATAATTCAGGACCAAAAGGAAAAGCCACTTCTGAGAAAGTGAACTTATTTAGAGAACAGATCCATTTAGAAAATAACTAATTAAATTCAGAACTGCTGTATAGAGCAGAATCAGCACAATTTTTATCCTACTGAGCATCTCTATTATACTGAATGCATCAGACTTTGGGATCAATATCACTACAGTTCCAATTGTCTATAGATACACAGAACTACAGATTTTTCTGCAATTAAAAAAAAAGGGGGGGTAGGCAAGTCACTGGTAGCAAGTTGAACTCCAAACTCCTCACCCCTATCTTCATCCTGCATTGCTTTAAATAGATCAGGGAACGGGGATATGAAGAGAAAACAGAAACTGATGTTAAAATATTTATCTACAAATTTAAAATAACAAAAGTAAACAAAGTTATAGAAGTATTTATCTATGTTAAACCAATATGTTAAAGCTAATATAACATTCCTTGTATTAAAGTAAAATTATCTGAGAATGAAGACAAAATTACATAAATTACCTATGGTAATAAAAACAAATGAGCAATTTTTAAAATGTTACTGGTGAACACTGAATTTTCCTTGCTATTTAGTGTTATGTGTATGTTTTCAGGTCCAAGTCCTGTTAAGTTTAATGGCCCTTGCTTGTGGGCCCTACAACTGCAACGCTGGCAACATCAAGCAAAACTCTCTTTTTTGGATAACTGAATAGATTCATAAAAATATTCAACTGATCATCCATAAAAAAGGTTTGCAGGTTTATAGAAGTAGTACAAATTATATTCTCTAAAAACCAATTAAATGTACATGGGAGTTTTTAAACTCTGAACAAAAGAAACGGATCTAAAATACACAAACCAGAATTAAAAGCAGAATACATGATATGTACACAGCGGTGTATATAAACAGCTATTTTTAAATTTCATTTTAATTGATCACATACTTTTCAGAGCTCTAATGGGCCAAAACTACATCCGAAAAGATTTTGTTGATGACACTAAAAATTTCCTTTTGCTTAAATTTTAAGACTTTTCCAGTGTTCATTTTAAAACTGAATGGAGTTTAAAAAATGAAATCAATAACAATAAGGTCTCAGTAGAAAAATAGTATATTTAGCATCAGGGAATACATTTGGAATTTTAAAAACAATGTTACATTAGGCAGTAAGGGGGAAAAATCCTTCTTTTAACTAACAATAAAGAATATCACCCTCCAAAACTTTAATAGTTCATATAACTAACTGCTCTTGGAAATGTCAAAAAGAAGTAGGAAACATTCTTTGGTATAACATGCAGATGCCAGATCGCTGTAATCTTTTACAGCAGCTCTTCAGAAAATTACAGGTTAAATTTTGATCCATTAGTAAGGAATTAATTTTATATATTAGTATAGCTAAACCTATATTGGAAAGCACTGATAATATCTGTTATAACTGATAAGTTAGACAAATGGGTATGTATTCCTTCAAATCAAAGCTTTCACTAACTGATTGCTTAGCCTATAGTAAAACACATATGTAATACATATTTTCTAATTTATTAAAATGGATTCTTAGTTTTTACAATTTCATTAACAGGACTGAAGTTCTTCTATCAAAAGAACTAAGCTAAAATATAGCAACAATAACCAGAATATAACTACAATATGAATTTGTATATATTATACAAGTTGAACATGGAAATTTAGATTTAAAAAGTTGGGAAAGTTATCACATCTCTTCAGAAACAATAAAAATAAGTTATATTTTTACAGATATAAAGATGACACATTTATTCAGGAACTTATTTGTCTCCCACATAAAAGAAGTTTTCCCCCCTGCAATAGCAATATTTTTATCTAACTAGCATATATTCCTGCTTCTGTATTTTAAAGTTATTTTCACTCCAGTGGCTTTACATGTTCTGTGTGGATAGATGCATGGATGAAATATGCCTAAAATTAAGAACGACAAGATCTTGGGAAAGTGGAATTTGTTCTTAACTAGCAAACCACAAATAAAGCACATTACAGAAATTTCACATTATAAAAATGCACCCTATATCCTACTGAAAATAGAGACAGAAAATGGGAAAGTATACTGAAAAACTCATATTTTATTATTTCTCATCCCTTTCCTGAATGCTAAACTGCTTTTCTGAAGTCATTTCCAAACTTATAAGCTGCTTAAGGAAAAGTGTTAGTTGGAGAAAAAAATATCTCAAACTCTAGAACAGGGAATAAAAAGATAACATAAAAACCTTGCAATTTAGCCAATGGAAATAAAATACTTTCACCAAGTAAGTATTTTGCACCTATTTCTATATGAAATCCAGTTGGAGCTGTCCACCAATCTAATAGGTAGTGAGTGATTTCCCCTTTTTATTTCCATCTCTCTATCCACCTAATTAGTTCTAGGTGCTCTAGGACAGAGAAAACTGATACAGAAATAAAAAATTGGAAGCTTCAATTATAGGAGCAAAAATCTGCTTGCCACAGCATTTGAAGAAACGCTCAGCTTTTGTTCATTCCAGAAAGGTCAGTTTAGCTCAACAGCAATCTTACAAAACCCACATAATGAAACACAATCCTCTTCAGCAATTCCAAACACAAGCCAAGTTCATGCATATTAATACTTGGATATATCTCCGGTAAACACATGCTACAGGAAGCATGCCTGATGACTCAGATAAAATGCTTCCTACTCAAGTGACAAAAACTCTAGAGAGATAGTAATCATGCTACAAAGATTTTCTCAAAAACAATAGTATGAAGGTTTGTACTTGATGTTCTCTTCAGCCAATTGAATGGCAATCATTAAGGGAATGGGTTTTCTATTGTCTGCAGACCCTTCCCTCCAAATCTGCTCAGGATTCTAAGCAATATACCCAGAATAGATTTGGGTAAATTTGCAAGGGAAAGAGAAATGTTTATTACAAGGGGAGACATTTGCTCAAACATTGTCATTATCAGTTTAAAAACAAAAGGTTTAAATAGTAATGAGAATGGAAAAGCTTGCTGTTTTGGTGAGAATGACTAAACTAAGCCTTCAAAGTGAATCTATTTAACTTTCATTTTGGAAATTAAATAATTCTAACTTTCTAAAAGTTATAAAATGTGTGTGTATATATGAAAAATACACAGGAAACTTTTACAAAATAACACTGAATCAGCAGCATTATAATGTAAAGTTCAACCAGCTGCATTATTCAACTTCCCCTCCCCATTATGTTTTGATCTTATCTAGCATAATTCCTTTCTTTTGCCAAATTCCTATTAGTCAACTGCTACTAATGTCTTTATTTTTTCTTCATTTTTTAAAATAGTCTGTAAAAAGTGATTTGTGTTTAAGGACATTTCATTCCAAGAAAAAATACTGCCAAGTAAAATTTTGGTTTATTTGAACATTCACATCCCAGTAAATGGGCTGTGATTTTCCCATTCTCCTCAAATATTTTAATTCCATCACATTTTGTTTAATGAGTAAAGCAAACCTTTGAGACATTTATAAAACATGTTAAATTATATGCCACATTTTGGTTTTGTTTATTAAACAGACTGTTTTGCTACATCAGATTTCAGTTTTTTGCTTTTTTCCCCGCAGAAAACCCATGTCAACTATAAATCCAGACAGAACACTTTATAAGCCTCCATTATAATACTATAACAACACAAGCATCTGTAGTACAGATTTCTTCCTAAGTCCAACCTGAATGGGTGATAGGCTGTTCAACTTCTATATATTATTGTTATAATACAATGTTGTTATTATATAGCGCACTCTTCAGATTGTTTCTGGGTGACAGCTGATTCAAGCTATTTCCATACAGCAATCTGTAATGTGGCTTGCTGATACCAATTTACTGGTCAGCCAATCACATATGCCAGAAACATCTTGATAAAATACACATATAACACATATAACTTTAGAGATACTCTCATGAAGTAGTTCCTGTATTATGAAACTGTTATTTATTCTAAAATAATCAAATCAATAAAATAAGCACCTCCTATAACAATTGGAAAAAAGCATATTATTAAGAGAATCTTAAAAGTAATCTTTGTAAAAAGATGTGATCCATTTTCACACTGCTGAGAAATGTAAGGATTGATACAACCTAACTTGCATCTTACTCTCATGAACCACCTTTTAACTTCTTTATTAAAGCGATCAGAGTGGATTTGAAACTATAAATGTTACCTTGGCCTAGAAGACCATCAAATAGGAAAAAAGTAGTAATCTGACTAATGCTAAACAATAATAAAAACTTTAAAGATAGCCCCTTTTGATACATTGTTTTATATCATTTCTATTTTTGCTCAATTAAGCAATGCATCCCAAAGTCCCACCAATAACATTGCTATTTATATTATAGCCTTTTCTTTAGATCCAGAGTCATACAACTTCTCTTTACCATATAGATATTTCAAGAGATCAGTTACACAAAGAACTATTCATCTCCTTTACATATTCCCTTCTCAGTTAAATACTGCTAACTGTATCAAACTGTTAACAGATACGCACCTGCTTTTTGTGTGGAAAAGGGTAGGAACACAAAAACAGGGAGAAAATGTTGAAAACAAAGTACAAAGGAAATCTGCTCCTCTCCAGGCTGCAGGTTTAGAAGCCAGTTCGGCATCCTCTGGCATTACTTGCTAAGTTCAGCATATTTGTTATTTCCATTCTCTTCTCAATAGTCCATGGCATTATTAGCCTCACTTTCTAGCATCCTCTTTTCTTCTCCATCTCAAGGGTAACAATCCTGTTACAGCTTTTCAGTCCATTAAGTGCTCAGAGAGGTAAGCCCCCAAGATATTAATTCATTTTCTCACAGCCACTGACTCAGCCATGCACAGTGCAGCACTGACGTCTGACCTCGCAGCCTCCAGTAAGCTGAATTGATGCTTACCATTTCCTTTTTTCTAAGCCGCCATTGGCTGGCATATTTGATAGATAGCGTACGGAACGCATAAGGAAAGAGCTGCCTGGTATACTGCCAAGTGCCATCTGTGAAGCTATTTCTAGCCCTGCCTGCTTGTCAGATTTTAATAAACTAATAAAGCATCTGAAATGTTTCTTCTGTCACCTATCTTTCATGCCTCATTTTTTAGGCTTTCAGTGCAGCAGAAACATTAGAATTCATTCAGCATATAGTAATTTGTCTGGACAGGAATTCACACCAAAAGATTCTTAATAAAAGTCCTGTGCCATTTGTTTAAAACACAGGAGAGAAAGACAACTGCCAAGAGAATTTTATGTCAAGAAACTGCATGTGCAAAGTAAGCGAGAGATACTTTAACTATTCTAAGCACAGTGTTTCTTTCACCAGTATAATGTTTCAATTAACACCAGTGCAAAGAAAAGTCTAGGGTTTTAATTTCAAAGAACAGGTCAGGAAAACAAAGAAAACAAAGTTTCTAGTCTAATCCTAGCAAGCAGAATGTAATTTGTGTGATTTTCAAAATAAGTGCAACATATTTACAAAATGATAGCTGTATATATGTTTGTGTCTATATTATGACTTCGGCAAAGCTCTGGATTCAATTTGGAAGAAATGCTATGGAATGCACATGGATGCAGCACCTATCTATGATTTATTAAAACAACCATAACTATTTCTCAATTGTACAACTGCCAAAGCTTTCACAGAACAGCCACACAACTACTGTCCTACATCTATGCCATACTAATCTTTTTAAAACTTATGATCTGTCTGGTTTATTCAGGTCTCAGGGTGCAAATAAAACAGCTCTCCAAGGTATGCTAAACAAGTGAGGGAACATAGCTCAATATGCAAAAGGCCCAAGGCCTAAACCACGGAGTCTCCAAATATGGCTGGCAAATTAAAAAGCCATATCCTGTTACCACAGACTGAGGTGGGCAGGTACTACTAGGTTAGGGGCTGCAAATCAGCCTCCTGACCCACCAGCAGGCCACAGGAGACAATCTACAGGAACTTGATGTCACTGAAAAGCGCAGATCTGGAAGATGTAAATCAATTTTAGTTAAAGTCTAAGGGTGGAGTGGGATTGGGAAGCCTCTAACATTAAACTATTCCTTATTTACATGTTCAAAGAAAAGCATTAGCATATTCACACACTTCCATTATATGTAAGTAGATATCCAGAATCCAAACTCAGATTTTAAAATTTAAAAAATCCTAGAAACAGCTACAAGTACACAGGGAAACAATAGAGGATCATCTATGAATCAGAATGCAACTGTGCAGAAACTTGAAAAATGTGAGTTCTGAGCTAAATGAAAATATTCTCTGTATGTAGCACTCACAAATGCTGAGAAAATTTTGAATATATGGAGTTATATTCAATTGTGCCTCTTGGCAGAATACCTGCCATATTTCTCTTCTGCATATCCCAATCTGCATAAAAGTTATTAGAACTTCTGGAGCAGGATATAAACAGTCGTGCATGAGAAGAACAATGGAAACCATTGTTACATGAGCATCAGCTCACAGATGTAACACAGCATGAAGTTGGCGACCCTATCCAGAGCTAACGCTGTAGCCATCATGAAACCATGTTGTTTCTGAAAAACAGAAATTCCACCATGTTGGGATTAAATTTAAGCTTGTTTATACCCATCACAACCTCCACAAAGAGGGTTAGACTTCCACAGCATCTCCAGCCAGGCTTGGAGCACCAATGAAAAGATGACTATCATCAGTGTACTCAAGATACCTCACCCCAAACCAATATATGACCTCTCTCAGTAGCTTCATATAGATGGGCTGAAGCAACTGTCACCCTGACTACTTCTTACCCACCAGTACCAGCTGAAACAACCCACTAAGGTAAGAGCAGAACATTTGGAGAAAGGTACCTTCAACCCTTTATCCAAAAGGCAGTCCACTTGGATATCATGATAGGTGGTACCAAAAGCTCCTGAGAGAATCTGTATTGAAAATAATCTAGATAAACTACTTAATTAAGGGTCCTTCATAGCTGAGTCACCAATACCATCTGAACAGCCCTCCCCAAGAAAGGGAGGTTGGAGATAAGGCAATAATTGTCCAACAAGGCTTTCTTCAATAGAGTGACCATCACCACATTTTCCAAGACAGATGGGATCATGTCATCTCTCAAAGAAACATTAACTATCTCTTGGATCCAGCCATTCACATACCTCCTCATTGCCGGAAGGATCCAGGAAGGGCACTGCCCCAGATCATACATACCAACTTTCACAGTAGAGAGAACCCACAAGTTTCCAGAAGTTCAAACTAATCCCAGATAACATTATAAAATATATCTCTATTGTCACACCAAAATCTGTTGAAGAAGCATCAAGCTCAAAATTAATATAAGCAATTTTATCCTTGAATTATTTGGCAAAAGTGTCACAGTGGCCAGTTGAAGTGTCATCTCCACTATTTCTCCCCAGTAGGGAGTTGTTGTTGTTGTTGTTTAGTCGTTAAGTCGTGTCCGACTCTTCGTGACCCCATGAACCATATTGCGCCAGGCCCAGTAGGGAGTAGGCTATTTTAAACAAAGCCACGGGAGGTTGCAGATACAATAAAGACAGAAAAGTCAGCAGCTTTACCACCCTTCACCAACAATGTATAACAATGCTAATGTAGAACATGAGCACATACCCGTGGTCAGTCTTATTCATCTATATGCTACTAAAACTCTCGTG